TTACAACCACTATTTGTTTCATTGCAGGTTTCTGATTACTTCCTGCCCAGTACATATGAATCACTTCTATGGCAAATACAAATAATGTGACTGAGTTAATCATCGCCGGTCTTTTCCAGGACCCAGAGGTGCAGAGAATGTGCTTTGTGGTGTTTCTTCCTGTGTACGTGGCCACGGTGGTGGGCAATGGTCTCATCGTTCTGACGGTCAAAGTCAGTCAGAGTCTGCATTCCCCCATGTACTTCTTCCTTAGCTACCTGTCCCTGGTGGAGATCACTTACTCCTCCACTGTTGTCCCTAAGTTCATCACAGACTTACTTGCCAAGATTAAAACCATCTCCCTGGAAGGCTGCGTGGCTCAGATATTCTTCTTTCACTTCTTCGGAGTTACTGAGATCTTCTTGCTCACAGTAATGGCCTATGACCGCTATGTGGCCATCTGCAAACCCCTTCACTACACGACCGTCATGAGCCGGCCTGTGTGTCACCGTCTGGTGGCTGGTTCCTGGCTGGGGGGCTTTTTTCACTCTATGGTGCAGATTGTTGTCACTCTCCAATTATCCTTCTGTGGCCCCAATGTGATTGACCACTACTTCTGTGACCTCCATCCCTTATTCAAGCTTGCCTGCACCGACACCTCTGTGGAGGGGCTTATTGTGTTGGCCAACAGTGGATTATTCTCTATCTTCTCCTTCCTTCTCCTGGTGTCCTCCTATGTTGTCATCCTGCTCAACCTGAGGAACCACTCAGCAGAGGGAAGACGCAAAGCGCTCTCCACCTGTGCCTCTCACATCACAGTGGTCGTGTTGTTCTTTGGTCCTGCCATCTTCCTCTACATGCGACCACCCTCCACCTTCACTGAGGACAAACTGGTGGCCGTATTCTACACGATGGTCACCCCCATGCTGAACCCCATCATCTACACACTCAGAAACGCAGAGGTGAAAATCGCCATGAGGAGGTTGTGGGGTAAGAAAGTGAATTCAGGAGTGGAATAAAAACGAAAATCTGAAAAAGCTCCCCAATAAGCCTGAGCAGTAATGACAGGAGAAGCACTACTTAAAGTCATAATGTGAGTGGGATTAAGTTAGAAACGCCACTTTGTTAGCATCCTTAATGGAGAATCTGAGATTGTATTTGCACCTCATGTATTTTTGGTTTCTCATATACTACCTTGTTCCATGTAAGACCTGAGGAGGTAATGCCATGTTGTATTTTATTTTATTGGGGGGGTATAATTGAGGAAATTTTATCTTCTTTATTTTCTTTTTCTTTTTCAATTGACGCTGTAGGCGGTTTACAATGTTGTGTGCCGTGTTGTATTTTAGTGGGCTCCTTATACTCCATGGTATCAATCATAGCCCTTTCCTCGCTGTGCCTATTTTGGAAAATGCTGAAAATTCCTTCTCTTCTTTGGTGATCCATAGTGCAAGGTGCACAGATTTCAGCAAGGAACATCTGAACTTGAATTCCCATCGTGTCATCTTCTACCTGTACAACTTTGGGTTCGTTCACTTTTCCGTGGTGTTAGCGTGCTGTGGTTTGTGGAAAGACTGTGGCACCTGGAGACAGAAGATTACACTTTGCTTTGTCTCCCCCTATCAGTGTGATCTTATTGGACTCCCAGGAAGGCTTTTCTACTTCATTGGAGCCCCTGCCACATTAATATGATTATAATATCTGAAATTCCACGGTAGAAGCTTTATTTCACAAGAGTAAGGCATTGTTAGAAGGGAAATGTCTCTGGAGGTGAAATACAATAAAACTGTCGTTAACCATTAATATTGTTACTGAGTCCAAACTTGTTCTGCTCACCGCACGACAGGCCAGTAAATCGGGAGGTGAGGTATTGGGGCAAGGAATAACAACTTTATTCAGAAAGCCAGCAGACTGAGAAAATAGGGAACTAATGTTCTAGAGAACAATCTTCTCCAAGTCAGAATTCAGGCCCCTTTTGTACTGAAAAGGGGAGGGGGTATGGTTGGTTGTTGCAAACTTCTTGGTGTTGAAATCCTTTGTTCCTACAGCTGTCCATGTGGGTCAGGCCATCATGTCCCTGTATACCTGCAACAAGACAACTGCTATTCTCTGTTCTGCAACTTTTTACTTCTATATGAATGGAGACGTGCACCCTTAAAGGGTAGAGCCTTGAGGATGCTGAATGTATATTTCAGGCTACAGAGAACATTCTTTTATAAACGGTGCAGAACCAGCATGACTGAGCCCAGGAAACAGAGCACAGGGTTAGAGCTAAAGGAACAGATCTAATACGGGGCCAGATATGTCCTCCCCTATCATAATACGTTAATCCAGACAATTTTACAGGACCATTCCCTTTCTAGACAGTTGTTATCTGAGCACTGGTATATGGTTTAAGCCAAATCCAGCCCATTTCGTATGGCCTGTGAGCTAAGAAAGGCTTTCACATTTTTAAGTGCTTGAAAAAAAATCGAAGTAGCATAGTATTTTGTGACATATGAAACTTACATGAACTTCAAGTTCTAGTGCCCATAAATAAGGTTTTATTGGACGGTAGTCATGCTCACTATTTTACTTCGTGTTAGAATGGCCTGGTTAAGCAGTTGTGCCAGAGACAGTACGGTCTGCAAAGCTTATATATTTACTATTTAACCTTTTCCTGAAAAACTTTGCCAGGCCCTGGTTTAAGCCATAATAACACTTTTAGCTTACTCAGCAAGGAATTTGGAGGCCAGTGTTTCCAGGGCGGTTTTGTTGCTTCTGTGATGCTGGGGCACCGGCGAATGCCTCTTTCATTCTCCTGGCTGTCCCCTTGTTGCTGAAACACAGCCTCCTTACCTGCTTACTGAATTGAGACTGAGGACAGAGTTTTGGATGGAGTAGAGAAGGCAGCTTTATTTCTTCGCCAGGCGAAGGAGGTCACACTGATGCATGGTATAAAATCTGTACCAGATACACTCACATGTACCGCTCAGCTCAGAAGAAATTCTGTTGTATCTCTACTAGGGTATCTCGACAGTAGCACTGTTGACATTTTGGATCAGCTAATTCTTTGCTGTGGGGGGCTGTCCTGTGCCTGGTAGGATGTGTCCTAGAATCCATGACCTCTACCTGCTAGATACCAGTAGGCTCTCTTCTCCACCTAGTTTGTGACAATGAAAAATGTTTCCGGATATTGCCAAGTGTCCTCTAGGAGAGACATTGCCCCTGACGGAGAACCACTGATCTGTGCAGATTTCTCCTGCTATCCAAAAGGAGAATGTCCTTACATGACATTTTGTAAACGTTAATGATATAAAGCGAACAAATGATAACCTTTGGATGCATCTGGCTAGTGAATACACAAAACAAATCAAGATAAAGCACGGATGCTCACAGTCACAGCTGAAGGCTATTGCAGCTTGATGCTGAGAAGCTGGGCAGTGCGGCTCGCTGCTGGGGGGGTACTCTGTAACATTGCAAGACAAGCACTGCTGTTTTTGCTTTTTACCCTTTTCCATAAAAGCGAAAATCCTCTTTGGACTTCTTTCTGTCCACAAAAAAAAAAAAAAAAAAACCAAAACCAGATACTAATGTAAAAGTGAGGTGGCTTTTTCGAAGTGAACTTTTGAAAAGTGGGGAATACCTGTACCTTCATCCACACCAAAGCCAAGGAAAAGTGCTATTTCAGTTTTCTGACACTTGTGGCCCATATTCCTTGGATCCATCCTCTGAGTGGTGTCATTTCATGTAAAGCCACATAACTGAGTCCATGATAAGCCAGAGCTGTATCTAACTGACCACTGAACAGCGCAGAACCCCGCAGCCCAGGTGCCCTGTGGACACTGGGTGAAATTAATTTACATTTCCTATTGATGTCTGAGGTTATGTTACCTACAAGGAAGTCTGAGTTGTTAGTATCCAGGTCCTGCTTCCCATGAGGTAGGCTGTCTGATTAGGAAGGGGAAAGGCATGGCTCTCTGGGGACCAGTCTTCTCTCACTTGATCGTCATGCCTTCCCCCCTGGTATCTCTTAAGCTGAGTGAACTCAAGGCTGAGTTGCCAGAATTCTTATTTCTCTGTGGAACACACAGGATGCAATTCTATTGCGTTCTTTTGTTTTAAATCAGGTGAAGTAGACCCAGTGGTCTTGTCTTCACCATTCCCAAGCCTAAGGCTGCAGGAGGAGCAGATCCTCTATCTGGAAACTTCTGAGAGGCAGGAGCTTTGGTTGACAGCTTGGCCTTACTGCTTTCAGACTGAAAAACTGGGAGACCTGCATGATCTGGTGGCTGTTCTCAGGGCATTATTTGCATATCTGTGGTCCGGACAGAAACAAGAACTGTGGTGAGAACAGCAAAGCCACAGAAACACTGGAGTGAGTTTTGTCTTGTGAGCATGCACTTCTTTTTCATGTGATGATTACAGTTCCACTTTGAAGGTAAAGGGAATGGTGCCAGGAAGCCCATGGCATTTTACAAAGTGCTCTCAGATCGGTCTGGTCTTTGCTCAAGGCAAGAGTAGTGCTAGATATGGGATTCAGGGATGGAGAAAGTGTGATCTTGGTCCTCGGGGACCTTTGGTCTTGCAGTATTTACCGAACACTTGCAATGTACCAAATACTGTGCTAAGAAGGCGAGGGAAGATCTGTGCCCACTGTTCCCTCATTCTGTGTTCATTCACTGAAAGCTCTTTTGTAGAGGTGCTTCAGTTAGCACTGGAGATGGAGTGTTGAACAAGCTGCAATCTCTGCCCCGAGAAAGTTCAGTTTTCTGGGACAGATGATCACATAAAACAATGCCAAGTCAGTGTGTCAAGTACTGTACTTCCAGAATGTCCTGAGAGAAGAGGGCCACTGACTGTAGGGTCTCTGGATTGTGAAGATGGATTTCCTGTCTCTGAGAAGACTCCGAATTTGCAGTTTCAATGCTAGCATTTCAAATACACAGGGGATTATTATGCAACTCACCTGCTTAACAAAGGGGTCTTTTGTATCATTTCAGGTCACCCTACCCAAATTATTGCCTTCTAGTGGTGACTTCATGGCTGACACACGCAACGTGACAGAATTTATTTTCCTGGGACTTTCTCCCAATCGGGACGTGCAGAAAGTTTGCTTTGTGATC